CCGCTTAAGGCATGGCTAAAATATGCATTTAAAATTTAAGAGTAAGCTAGTTTAAAGGGAAATGTTAAGTAACTAAGAGTTCAGTGGACATCTGAGTGTGACAAACGTCCTGACACACATTGACAGGTGACTGCAGCTGTGTGTCCCAGGGTTCCTAAGGCCCTTCCTACCTGAGGGGGAGGGGACTGAGGGCCCAGCCCCTCCAGAATGAAAAATGCACCAGAGGATGCTGTCCCCGACCTTACCATCCTAATCACCAAAACAGGAGACTTGGAAGGAGCAGCTGCTGTGGGGCAGGTGGGGCACAGACCCCCCCAAAATGGTGAGAATGCAGTGTCCTCACGTGACCATGGGGTGTATCACTGGGTACTGAGTGGTCCAACTGAAGACAGAAGTGGCCTGGACCTGGCAGAGGTGGCTCCAGGTGGAGCTCTGCACTGTATCTCCTGGGGAAGGACAAGGAGAGACCCCAACCTTGCATTAGGCTCCTCTCTGGCACCCACCTCCGCCTGGTGCCCGCGAGAGGACAGCCTGTCCCACAGCCCTCAGTGTTTCTGTCCTCCCAGAGCCTGGTGTGAATCACAGGGATTTACAGCCCAGCCTGGAGTGGGATTTATGAGTCCTCCTCGAGCCCGGCCACAGGGAGGGGCGCCTGTCAGCCCCCCATTGCTGCTGATTGATGCTGCTGTTTCCTGCCAAGAATAACTCCGCTCCATGGAAGGCAGCACAAGGAAAGACTACCACGCCTGAGGGTCCTCATCACCTGCCCTGTGCCAGATGCAGCCCTACCCGCTCCCAGTCCACATGTCCCCAGCCTCAGCCCCACACTGACAGGGAAGCAGGCAGTGCCAGAGCTCTGCATCCCCAGACCTGCCAGTCTCCCTCTCTGCATACCCCTTCAAAACGGATCCAAGCCAGGGTTCCAAGCTCAGTGGTTCTGCTGCCCGCCTCACAAGCACAGGGACCTGAGTTCGATCCCCGGTACAAAAAAAAAAAAAGGGTCCAAGATGGTTATGGTGGCACATGCCTGCCTGTAGTCCCAGTACTCTGGAAGCTGAGGCAGGATGATTGCTGCAAGTTCAAGTACTCTGAAGGCTGAGGCAAGACGATTGCTGCAAGTTCAAGGCCAGCCTGGGCTACATTTTGATTTCAAGACCAGCCTGAAGTACGTAGCAAGGCCGTGCCTCAAAAAAACAAAAATGAAAAATAAAAATAAAACAAAACTGATCCAGCCCAGATTCCCCTCTGATGCCTAGGGAACGAGTCCCTCCCCTTTCCAGCCATCTGCTAAAGGGCAGGGAGGATCAGACCATGACCCCAGCTGAGAAGCTGTCCAGACCCAGCCCTACAGTACCCATTGTCACCACAGGGTGGCAACAGGCACTAGGCTGGGCCTGGCCTCCTATCCCGACACGTGGTTCCCCCAGGGCCCTGCTCTTCTGAGGAGGAAAGGGAATCCAGAGAAGGGAGGACCTGTACTAGGTCACATAGCCAGGGGCGACATAGCCCAGGCCCCAGTGCTCTCTCCCAGCCCTTGTGCCATAGCAGAGGCTGCAGGGAGACAGAGTCTGCTGAACTGAGGTGGAGTCCTTAGTGCCTGGCCTCTGGCTATGTCTTGGTCAGGCATCTGCCTCCCTGAGCCTCCTGTACCTGGCACAGGGCAAGCTGGACACGAAGCCATTGCTTGGTCCTGGCAGAAGTCCCACCCACGAGAGCAGAGACTTCACCCCATGTCAGGGTCCTCCACACCAGAGTCCACCTCTCACCCCTCCTTCCAGACCACCTCCCTGTGCCCAGTGCCAGCCAAGGCCTCGAGGGGTGTCTCCGGCTGACCCTCCTCCCTGGCCCTTGTCCTCCAGTTCCCAGTCCCTTCCCCACCCCGCCTGGCTCCATCCCCCTCTCCTACGGCGCCACCTCCCCACCCACTGCACAGTGTGTTTACAGCCAGCAGACACAGCTTTTTATTTCTCTTTGTCTCCCTTCCTCCCCTGAAGGGAAATGCTGTTTCCCATCTCCCGGGAAGAAAGGAGAGCTCTGCGGGAAAGGAGCAAATAGAAGGAGCCCCCAGCCACAGGTGTGTACACACTCACGAGCATGTGCATGTATACACACACGTGAACACACTCATACATGCACACACACACACATGCACACCCCCTCTGGCCTGAGCCTCCAAGGTTTTCAGAGTAATTGAAAATGTTGATCTTTTTTCTGGAGCATAAACAGGGCAGAGGGACACTGGGAATGGGGAAAAGGAAGAGAAGGGAGAGGAGAGGAGAGGCCAACCGGAGGGGGGCCAGGAGGGAGGAGGCTGGGACTCTGGGGACCAGGATGGTGGCTCCCTCACAGCGAACAGGGGAGATGCACCGGGACCCTAGCACCACATCCACCAGGACTGAAGACTAGGAGGTGGGAGTGGCCTCTGGCCCTGGTGGCCCTAGATAGCCTTCTGACTGCTGGACAGCAGAGGGTGGGCAAAGCACTCCTCCAGCCCAGGGCTGGAGTCTGGACCAAGGTGGGAGTCCTCTGGCCCTGGTGGCCCTAGATAGCCTTCTGACTGCTGGACAGCAGAGGGTGGGCAAAGCACTCCTCCAGCCCAGGGCTGGAGTCTGGACCCAGCCCCTTCATGAGCACAGTGTGCACTAGTGTGGGCTCCGTGTACATGTGTGTGAAGGGTACGTGCTGTCCACAGCCCCCAGCCATGTGCGGGGGGACATGTGTCCCTGCAGTCAGGACCCCCATCTTGCTTCTGGCCTGGCACTATTCCCCAACCTTGAGGATTAGCCTTTAGGTCCCAGCAACTCAGAACAACAGGCCAGCCACTGCCAGAGTCCCTGAGGTTCCTGTGTTTGCAGCTTTACCACCAAGGCCACTTGTGCTCCCAGAGAGAACCCACGGGCCAGCCAGGTACTGAGCCCCCACCCCCAGTGGCTGCTCCTTCTCCTCTCACCAAGCCATTCCTTGACCTCTGGAGGCCAGCAGTGTTTGTTGAATGAATGACTAATGGTCAGGTCTGTGTGATCATGTGCCAGCTCTGAAGCCTAATGACCTGAAGGTTCAGGAACAGGTCCTACAGGGGTCAGCTGAGGGCTTCCTGCAAGGTGGCAGGGGCGGGCAGCCACAGGGTCAGGTCTGGAGGTGAGGTGTGCCTGGGGAAGGCTGTTTCATTGAAAGCTCAACCCCAAGCTAGAAGCTGTCTCTCATCCCAGTGTTTTCATTCTGACGCTTCCTCCTCTGCTCCCTTCCCTGGAGACCATAACTCTAACCCAAAGCCACTCCATCCCTGGAGCTGAGTATCCACTCCTACCTGTAGCTGGTAGTGGGAGGCAAGGTCTGTCCCTGACTGTCAACAATTAGAGTTTGTCCCAAGATCAGCATCCATCCTCACACTGAGCCCCGACGCCAATCACAGAAGGGCTTTGACTTCGGTCACTTATTGATCCTTGTCCTGGTTACACACTGATCCTGGATGTCTACTTAGAGACGGGCCGTTAACTTGTCATATGGCCAAAGTTATCTCCAGGTTCTGGGCCTCAGTTTCTCCATGTATCCAGCAAGGGTGTCGGCCTGGACTGGGGTTCCGAGGTGGCCCTGGTGACACCACCACCTGTCCACCCCACTCCCATTCGCACGTCCAACCCATCATCGCTCATTTTTGTAGCAGCCGTAATAAATAGCATTGTGGACAAAATGACACCTTTCTATTCGGCTGTGAGACAGATAGGTCCCCAAGTGCCTGCTCCCCTAAAGCCTGGCCACCCTTGCTGAGGACTGGGGGGCATACGGTGGACACAAACTCAGGGCCTGGGGACACGGTGTGGGCCGATGGCAGGACCCCAAGACAATATGGGGTGTTTCTTTCCTAAATATCAAACTGGGTTTCAAAAACAAATATTTCAAAGCTATTCTGTGTTTTTCTGTCTGAACTTGGGTTTTTATTCAATTGCAAGTTTCATTTTCAGTTAGAACCTGAACATGGCTCACGGATCCTGGGATGAACCACTCTGTCCCTCGCTGGCTCCGAGGCAGCCTTTTCTCTCAGCATCCTAGGACAGTGGCTGCAGAAGGACCCGGCCCTGTCTTGGGCCCCTGGGACTGGAGACTCTTGCCCTCTTCCCTCCCTCCTTGATCTATCTCCCCCTTCATGTGATGGGAGGAGCTGAAGGGTCCGGTTCCAGGGTGGCAGTGAATCAGGGACAAACGCCAGCCCCTGGAAGAGCTGGTGCCATCATCCAACAGGGGCAGCACAGCCCCAACTCAAAGATGGGGCTGCGCTGCCCCCTCCTGGCTAGCAGCTCCTCTGCCAGCTGGGCTTCCCCGGCTGGCAGCTAACAAGTGATCTCCAAAGGTAGCCTGTGGCCATCAGACCCTCCCATAGCCCACAAGGCTGCCCCAGCCCGTGGGGAATGCACACCCTGGCAGCCTTCTCTCTTGCCCAGAGCACCCCTGCCAGCACTGTACTTATCACCATCCTGCCCGCTCTGTCCTGGGATTAGCGCTGCCTCCTGCTGTCCGGGCCTGGGCCACTCTGACTCCCCAGCCTCTGGTCCCCTCTGCACACTATGCTGTCCCCTCCGCCTCCACCTTTACCCCTCTGTGCAGTCTCCACCTGACCCTTGGGCCCCCCACCAGAGCGATGCCTCCCACCTCTGCCTGCTCACCACCGCCCTCTCCTCCCTGGGACTCGGGCCACCGTCAGGGAGCAGGGTCACACAGTCCTTGAACTGAGGGAACCTGGCCTTTCCCGGTCAACCCTTCCTGTCCAAAGGCTCAGAGAGCCATAGGAGCCGCAAAGGCCACAGGGTGTGATGCCATTGAGTCAGGAGGGACCTCAGCTCAACACGTGCGGCCTGGCCCCAGCCTATGTGGGCCAGACAGGAACCCACAGACAGGACCAGCGTGTGGCCACCCAGGCCCACTGCCCTCCCCTGAGCACGGCTCCCAGGAAGCAGTGAGACATCTGCAGAAGGAAGGAATGAACACACAAAATATTTGTCTAACGCAGGCACCAGCTCTGCTGGAATAGAAAAATAACATCTGCGGGGTGGGAGGGTGAACCACCAGTTCAGTCTCTGATGTCCACCACCAGGGGGCACAGGTGGGCCGAGTGCCTGGTGCCCATGGTGAAGGCGGGTGTGCGGGGCTTGTGCAGGGTGACTCGCTGCACGTCATGGGAGCCAGGCCCGGGCCGCGGTGTGTGGTCCAGTGGGTAAGCGTGGCGCCGTGCCATGCTGTGTGCCGGGCTGCGGTTCTGGTAGACAGATGGCTCGGGCCGGGCATGAGCAGCCGGCCCAGGGCCCCCAGCCACATCCTCCCGGTAAAACCAGGTCTTAACCATGGGGGCCAGACTAAAGCAGGGGGCGGCCTGGTAGATCGGGGTGTTAGGCCCCAGAGAGAGCGGCAGCTGGTAGCGGTTGGGGGCCGGGTTGGGGTCCATCACTCGGTAGGGGCACCGGTAGCCAAAGGTGTACTGGGGAGCCCTGCGCTCATCAGGGGGGCGGGTCTTCTCCAAGTTGTAGTGGCCAGGGGCTGGCGTGGGGCTCAGACCTGCAGGGGACAGGAGTGGGGAAGGGGCTCTGAACCTGGACCCTGGTTCATGGGTCTGGGGACAGAGCCAAGGCCTTGCTTGACCACCTCAGCAACAGGGAAGGGAACAGTACAAGAGCAGGGAGAGAACAGTGCAAGGTCACCAGTATTGTGACGCCTTTGTCATGGCAGGAAAACCACCCATGTCATTGTAGCATGGGCCTTGGCTGTCAGTGTGCTGACCTGGACCCCAGACAGCACGGGCAAGGATGCCTAGCGTGACAGTGCTGCAGCCTGGACATGAGACTGTGGCAGGTCCTGGGTGACACACCATGACAGACAAAGTGAGGGCACAGTGTGACACTGGCGTCTTGTTGTGACACTATGGGAAGATGCCATTGTCCACAGATCTAGCCCCCATTTTGCCCCTACTTGACACCCCCAATTTCAACCTTCCCACCCCACCTTTGCCTGGCCCAGCTTACGCAGGCTGGAGATGCGGCCTTCCATGGGCACCTGCGGGCAGCTGGACATTCCAAAGCGGGTTATTTTGGGATCCAAGAAATAGCAGGGCCCAGGGCTGCATACGTCTGTAATCCCTGCAGGTCACAGAGGGGCTGTCAGGAGCCTGACCTCCTCCAAACAAGAGGAGCGAGGGCTCCCTTGGGATTCCTGCACCCCTAAGGTACTGGGCCCTTAACTTGATCATCTGTGAAGGGGGACTTTTATCACATGACTGCTGCTCCAAAGAGCTGACTCAGGGGAATGAGTGGAGTAACAGCTACAGTGGACAATGCCATTGCTGAGATGGTCGGAGACCAGAGCCAGCAGTCATGACAGCCATGTGGCTATTATTAGTACTGAAAAAGGCCCAGGCCAGGCCAGGGAGTCCCCTGTTTCTCCCCAAGAGGGGCCCAGCAGGCACCCTGACTCTAAGCCAGCTTCTCTTCCTGCTGGCCCAGGTCTGCTATGGCCTCTGCTCCTCTGTCCTGGGGCCACCATGCCCACCAAGTCCCCACTGTCCTCCCAGGCAGCACATGGCATCCAGAGCTGAAGGATCCCACTCTGCCAGCAGGGTGCCAGCATCCCTTCCCAGTCCCCTGGAGATGTCTGCCTTGGGTGGTAAGCCCTGGAGAAGCCTCCTTCTGTACCACTTGGAGCAAGCTTTGGCGCCTGGGTCCTGTGGTTCCAAGTCTCCAGCCCCACCTATCACCCTGCCTCATGGGATACCAGCTACCCCCACTCACGCTTCTCAGAGTGCCTCTCATGCAGGGTGAACGCCGGCCCCCGGAACAGGGAGCTGTCGTGGCCCACATAGCCCGTGCACGATGGCCGCAGGTACCTGGCAGGCCCCGGACCTGGGAGGGCAGACAGGGCCCTGGTCAGAGGCAGGAAGTCCAGACCCTGAGAACATCAGGGTCTGTGAGTTTGAGACCAGCCTGCGCTACATAGTGAGTTCCAGGTCAGTCTTAACTACATAGTGAGACCCTGTCTCAAAAAACTGGGGGTGGGGGGGAATATATGGTGGCACATGCCTGTAATCCCAGCTCTTGAGAAGCTAAGGCAGAAGTATTGTTGAGAGTTTGAGGCCAGCCTGGGCTATATAATGAGTTTAAGGCCAGCCCAAACTACACAGCAAGACTCTGTTCCCCCAAAATAAAAAAGCCCAGTAGCTAATACTGCCGGCCTCAAGTTCAGCATGGAGCAGCGGGTCAGGTCTTCTGTAAGGCTTTGAGGGGATCCTGCAGGGGCTTCACAGTGGGGAACCCCCAACCCCAGCAGGCCAACCTCAGGACAGGGCGGCTCTCACCTCTGATCAGAGCCATGATGACCGGGGTCTGCTTCACCTCCTGCCTCGAGGGCAGCTGCTTCTCTTTTTCTGGGTGCTGGGCATAGAACACAGAGTTGCCAGCCCCCTTGGACAGCCTCATGGCTGAAACCAGGTGCCCCTGCCAAGGACGTGCGGGACTGGGCAGGAAGACGTCTTTCCCCAACTCCTTCTCTGCAGCTGGAGCTGAGTGACGTCATGGCAGAACTTGGACACAGAAGCCTGAGTGTTTATTTCCCCAGTTGCCATGGTGCTGGGCCGTTGTGGAGCCCTGGTCCCCAAGCAGGCTGAGGGGCCAGGGGGCCCCAGGACCTGGGGTCAGAGAAGAAAGAATGCGACACCTGAGCTGCTCCTCCTCCTGAGGCGGATGCCCCCAGGCTGTGGGCCGGAATGGAAAAGGGGAATTGTACCCTTGCCCCTGCTACCTGTCATCCCAGGTCTGGACAGGCCCTCTCTTCTGTAAAAGCCTGTTTTTCAGGCTGAAACTTTGGCTCAGGGGGACAGCAATTGCCTGGCATCTGAGGCCCTGGGTTAAATCCCCAGGACCGGGGAGGGAGGATAAAAAATGATTTTTCCTTGCAAAAGATTAAGCCAACTATTTCTCAGTAAGGTGTGACTGACAGCCCCTTTCCCAGGGAATATTATCTTATCCTTAAGATCCATCTCTAGTTTGAAAAATACTTGGCGAATATAGGGGATGGAGGGATAAAGCTTCCACACAACCCCTACATGACTGAAGGGTCCCATGTCTGAGGAAATGGGGGACACCCCCAACTCCAAGAACCCAGGAGCTCTGAGCCAGGCCTGTCACAGGCCCATGTGTGACTCAGGGTGGGATTTGATCTGAGTTTGGCAAGACGTCTCCATCCTAGGAACTAGAGGATACTGGCATTGAGGGGTCATTACCACCAGTGCACAATAAGGAAACTGAGGCCAGCCTAAGTCCACAAGGGTCAGGACTCCCTCAAAGTGGCCTGGTGCATCCAGAGCAGAGTGGAACAAGACAGGAAGTCGGGGGCTGCTGGAGACTACAGACAGCCTCAGGGAGCCAACCGTACTCTGAACTCTCACTGATGCCCCCTGAGGAACTCAGACTGGGGACCCAGGAGCAGCACAGCCTTCTCACCCTGTCCTGTGACATGGCCAGGACTGGAACCCCAAGTCCCTCAGGTCCAGGGCACCTCCCTTCCCCCATCCCACACTGCTCCCCCACCCCACACATCCCCCAAGCCGATTCTCCTCTGCACCCTTCTGTTCATCTCTGATACTTACCTGAGAGGCCATCCTCACATCTTCAAAGTGGCAGCCCTGTCCCTCATACCCCTCAGGTCAGGGCCGTGGGGACTGTTGCTGGAAGCTCCTCTCCTCAGGTCCCTGGGGTCACCTGTCTCCTGTCTACAAACCCAGTAGCCCTAGGGCTGGAGATTTAGCTCAGTGGTTCCACTGCCTGCCTTGAAAGTGCAAGGACCCGAGTTCAATCCCCAGTACCAAAAAAACAAAACAAAACAAACCCAGTAGCCCTGAGCTTCACCCATCCCAACTCTGCCATTCCCTGGTGGCCGGGCCTCCCCGAGGCCACCTTCCATCAGGCCCTGCATCCCCTGTCCTTCATCTCCAGGTTTCCTCTGGACCAACACCTCCATCAAAAATGCCTCTCAGCCCTGCTGTCCCCACAGCAAACCTGGTGTCCCCATCCCACCCTGCACTGTCCACCTGCCTGGCCTGGACCATCCTGCCTTAGCCCACCATCAGGGAGACCCCAGGGCGCCAGACCCCTCCTCCTTGTCCCTGTCTCTCCTCCCTAGCAGCCCCAACCCCAGCCTTGCCCCATGCTGACCGCACCCTCATCTCTGACCAGCCTACCTGCCCTGTCCCTGGAGGTTGTCCCCAGCACGGCTCATTTCCTGCCACCTTCCTTCCCCACTCACTTCTCCTAGCAGAGAAACTGAGGCCATCAGACAGGACTCTCCCCAACAAGCCAGACCTACTCATCTGCTGTCCCTGTCTCCAGTTCCCCTCGGGACTCCACCAGTCACCTGACCCAGGCCACCTCCTTCTGTCTGCTCCTTCCCATCACACTGTGATATCCAAAGTAACCCCCACCCCAGTCTACAAAGAACATCTCCACTAGCTGGGCCAAGTGGCAAAAACCTGTAATCCCAGCACTTTGGGAAGCTGAGGCAAGAGAGTCACAAGTTCCAGCCCAGCCTGGCCAGTTTAGTGCTTTATAGAGGACTTTGTCTCAAAAGAAAAACTGAAAAGGGCTGGGAATTATTACCTCCGTGCAGGGGCCTTGAGTTAAAAAATTTAATAAAAACGCTTTCCTGGCCACACCCAAACACAACTCCCCCCCAGTCTCTGTGGCCCCTACCTGCACACTGACTCACCACAGGGGCTTTGGGCCCACAGCCCCAACCAGCCTCAGTTTGACCAGAGTCCCCCAACCTTCATGTGGCAGCCACTCCCTGTGGTGCACTTCCTCCTGTCCCAGATTGGCCTCCTGGCCATGCTGGACCAAAATGACCAAGCACTGTGTCCTCACCCAGCACCAACCGCTGTTCCAGAGTGTCCGCCCGGAGCACCTGCCCCAGCCCCACAGCCCCTTCATGGGCTCTCTGCTGGCTCCTCTGCCTCCGAGAAACAGGTCAACACCAGTGAGGCTGATTCATTAGAGTCCAACTTCACAGGGAGGAGCACCGGTCCCTCCTCACACAGGGTCTGACCAGGGAGGGCACAGTAGATGCAGGTGGTTCTAGGGGGACACATGTCCCTTCTGGGGTGTCCCCACTGGGGACGTGGAATCTGATCCACCCTGAGGAAGCCAGAAAAATGCAGATTAAGATTCAGAGGGCCAGGGATTTAACTCAGTGGTTCCACTGCCTGCTTCAAAAGCACAAGGACCCAAGTTCAATCTTGGATACCAAAATAAAAAAAACAAATAAAGTTCAGAATAGCTGTCCTGTCCTTGTCAAAAAGGACAGCGTCATGAAAGACAGACAACTGAAGTCTTGTCTCATAGATAGCCACTCAACAGATGGACTAACTAAGGGGACCCAGAAGCTGAACTTTCTCTTGCTACAAAGGATGTTGCTGGGAAAATTGGCAAAACCAAAATAAATGCCTGAGGCTTGCTTCAAATTCTGTTCCCATGTTAATTTCCTGATTATGACAACTGTACTCATTTTATGAAAGACTCATCCTTGTTCCTAGAACTGCCCAGAGGGGAAGGAGGATTACTTCTGCAACTCACTCTCAAATGATTCAGAAAAAAATATATACATATATATATATATAT